ATGTATAAATGTAAAATTAATATTATGTATATTAATATAAATGTATAAATGTATTATATTATATATAATACATAATATAAATGTATATTTAAATGTATAAGTGTATATTATTAAAAATGTATAAATTATAAATGAATATAATATAAATTTATAAATTAATAAATTATAAATATAAATTAATATTATGTAGAAATGTATTAATATAATTAATATAAATATATACATGTATTAATATTATGTATAAATGTAAAATTAATATTATGTATATTAATATAAATGTATAAATGTATTATATTATATATTATACATAATATAAATGTATATTATAAATATACATAAATATTTATATATTATGTATAAATGTACATTTGTATAAATGTATAATATATTATATATAATTTATATAACATATAATATTTATGTAAATATATTATAAATATATAAAAAATATATTATAAATAAAATAAAATATTTATAATATGTATGCATAAATATATAATATTAGAAATGTATAATATATAGAATATACATTATTATTAATATAATTTATGTATAATATACATAATTGAAATATACATATTAATATATATTATAAAACAAAATTGAATAAATATATTTATAAATTTATATATAAATAAATGTATTTATATAAATATATAATATTTATTTCAATTGATATAATATATATAATATTATACATAATTGAAATAAATATATTTATATTAATATAATATATATATAATATACATAATTGAAATATACATATTAAAATACATAATTGAAATATACATATTAAAATTTATTAAAATATAATTGAAATATACATATTAAAATACATAATTAAAATATACAAATTGAAATATACTTATTAAAATATACAAATTAAATATACATAATTGAAATATATTTGGAGTTGTTTTTGATATATTGTTTGGATATGGTGTTTTTGAAGTTGTTTTTGAAATACACATTACTGTAACATTTGGAATGTGAAAAACAGTTTTTCAAAAACAGGTGCAAAAACACTCAATCCAAACGCAGCCCCTAGTTTTCGTATTAATCACAAGTTCATGCTGGAGTTAGTATTAGGCATACTAATGTATGTTTTTGTATAGGTAAGTATAGGATTTGATTTATTTTACAAAGGTTAAGTAGGTTTAAAAAGCTAAAAATCCTAAACTAGTAAAACCTCTAGTGCTCTAATAAATTAGAAACCCTAAGTTGGGTTTAAAACCTCTAATTTTGCTAATATAAAAAAGGTTGTTGTTTAGTTGCTTATATGTAGGATAGGTATGATTAAGAAGGGACGGTTAAAATAGGAGGGTGATTAGTGAAGCGATTAAGCGGAATTAAGCGTTTTAAACTAGATTAAGTATGTATCCTATGGAGTTAATTGAAAGACTTCTATATGTTTGTGGGCAAGAGAGTAAGAAAGATAAAGTGAAGTTGTAAGGGCTAAGAAGCAAAATGCAAGCTTTTGTGTGATTGGTTGAGGTGAAAATATCTTTCATGGGCTTTGACTTATATTGTATCATAGGAAATACAAGATAAACATAAGTCATTAAGCAAACAAACATCAAAGGGAGAGAGAGAGAGAGAGGGCCGAGAGCCTTGAGCAAGAAAGGAGAGAGATTTCTTCCAAATTCATCTACTTCTAGCCATTCATCTTGATCTTGGAACTTAGGGAAACAGCCTTGGCACTTGATTGTTGTGATTCCATCGCTTGCAAAGCTTGGTTGGAGGTAAAACATCTCACTTGAAAGTTAAATTTTGGTGATTGAAGTCTTGAACCCATGAAAGTGATGTTCTTGTTGTGGTTGTGAACTCTTATGGTATACATGGTAATGGTAATTGTAGAGTAGTTTAATGGTTTATTTTGGTGGTATTTTGTTGCAAGAATTTTGGCTAAAGCTAGGAGAAGTTAGGGTTCCTTGCTTCATGATTCCTTAAGTTGGTTTGGTTGGTTATTTGGCTTGCCAATGGAATTTTGGTGTGATAATTTCACTTGTATGGTTGATTCTTAGTAAAATCCAATTTGGTCATGAAACCCTAGTTTAAAGAGAGTTAGGTTGGCTTAGCTAGGGCTTAAATAGTTAGGGCTTGATTGGTATATGGATAGACAAAGTTAGTTAGGGCTTGTAAGGTTAGAGCATAGAATATGGTTAGTATTGGCTAGGTTTTGAGGTTAAGTTGAGAAAGGAATTTCGGGTTTCTTATAAAACAATTGGGAGATGGTATATGTGTGTTGTATTGGTGTGGAAATGGTTAGAAAACTTGCATGCGATGCTTGCATTTGGACCACGCATTTGCGCCACGGAAATTAACTACCCAGAAAAGAACAAAAAAAAAAAAACAGGACAGTGCGATCCTGCAGCTTTGGTTCCATTTTTCATTGGGATTCGTGTTGACTCAGCTTTTGGCCAAAACACAAAAGTTATAGCCTTATAACTGAGCTTTCTAACACCTTTAGAATTTCTTGATTTGGATCTACGAGTCCTGAATTATGGTCGTTCAAACAGGGGCTATCCGACAACCTGAATATAAACTGCTGGGACTGTTTCGTGCATTTTTGTTCTAGTTCCATTGAGATCAGAGTTGAAGGGCCTTCATGAAAGTTGTAGAGCTTTGGGTGATCTGTCTAACTGCTAAATTTCAAAGCGTTTGGACCTTGGAAGCATACAAAACGATCCAAACACTCTAAATTGTTTGAATTGCCTAAGATAGTTTTTGGTGGCTATAGTTTTTGTCTATTTTGATTACGAAGAGGTCTATTTTAGCTCTTAATGTCTTCATGAAAGTTGTGACTCGTTCTCTTAGCTTTCGAAATGGTGTCTTATACACCTTAATCCGATATTTATAGCCTAACTTATGGTCAAAACGGTTTGGGGTGGCAAATCTGCTGTTTATATTTTCGACGGCCGTTTCCGTTTCCATTCGGCATTTCCGCGCGCATGTGTGTCCGTTTTGCCAATTTGCTTGATGTATACATTTTAGTAGCCGTTTGTGAAATAATGTACAACCTTTTATTACAGACGGTAGTAGGCTAGGCGAAGCCAGTGGGACCTACTAGCTGTCGCACGCGACGTGATTTTCGCACTTTTGCTATACTTGTTCTTTACATAAGTATCCGGGCTGTTTCTATGTATAATTCGCTTATGTACTTTGATGTGGATGAAAGGGTACTTAGGCGAAAGTGTACTTTATTACACTCGAGTTAAACCCTAATTTGCATCTGTATTTGTACATAACATGTGTATATGAATTGTTTTGGGACCGAACCCTTTGAGCTTGTAGCTCGGGGTGACTTTTGTGAATTATGAAATATGATGAGTTTGGGGTCCGATCTCAAGACCTAGACGGACTATTCGAGCCGGCCGGGGTTTAGTCGAAGTCAGTCCAACCTAGCCTTGAGGTCATCACGTTTGTGAACCAAGTTCGATTTCGTTTTGATTGCTCGAGCCATTTTGTGCGGTTGACTGGCCAGTGAGGGTGATAAGGGGTACGGTAAGAGTACAAGTGGAGTTCTACGGACCCTTGTTTGTGATCGATGGAGTGTCGACAGGAGGTCACATATAGCAAATAACTTGGTTTTGAAGCTAACATGTATCCTTAATTTGTACTGTTATTTCTTTTGCTTTTGACTTGGCATCTTTATCACGTAATTGTTCGTCTTGAGGTGCCATTTACGTTTTTACCCCTGTTTACTTACTAAACTTATAACTTACCCATTTCCCTTTATTTTCCTTAACAGGGGCCGACGCGGGAGACTCTCTGGCACTGTCACTAGTATAACTAGGTTTAGTTTATAATAGCCAGATAATTAAGATGGTTCTTCTTGTTATAGTGATCCGTGTAAGGATCCTTCTTCGAGTCTACTTTCTGATTTTGTTTATTATCATAAGATGAAGTAGTGGTCTAGATATCTACTTTTGAGGGTGTAACTAGAACTCTTTTGCTAATGTATATATTGTGAATAGCACTCTTTCGATTCATATAGCTTATATTGTTTTGTGTTTTCGAGTCCTGGCCCGAGCTAGACAGACGGTCCACTAAGCCCTTTGGTATGCCTTTGGGTGCCGTGGGGTCGTCACAGGTGGTATCAAAGCGCTTAAATTAGAGGATTTGAACAATTGGGACATACGTGATAAGCAGTAGGAATATGTGTATCTATTTAAGTTGAATGGTATGTTTTAAGCTGAAATGCCGACGAACTGACCAAATAATGTTTTGTAGGTATGGAGACCGTGGAACCTAGTGGATCAGGACCAGGGCCGAGACCTCCTAGTGCAGGAGGCCCGGTGAATCAGGTGCTACGCCGGCGTGTGCTCCGATTTCAGAGGAGGCCTGGGGGTCGTATTCGCTGTATTCCCCTTTTGGTCGGCTGAACCGGCCATATGAGTGCCGACAGACGTTCGGCTACCTAGATGAGGTCGTATGGCGGTGGACGACGAGCGACGTCGCCTGGAGAAGGCGTACGATCGCTTGATTAGACAGCTGGAAGAGACCAGAGAGGTGCCCCACGGGCAGGCTATGCACATTAGGGATTGGAGCAGGGCCTCAGAGATGAGAAAGAGAGGACAGACGCTTTTCGTTGTCAGCTCCACGACACACCAGCACCTCTTCACTATGAAGGGGCAGCTGATGGAACGGGCCCGGGGGATCATTGTGGCGACCCCACTTCCCCCTGAGGCGAACCAAAGGGTTGGCGGGCCGTCTGCCCAGCTCTCGCCAGGACTCACGCAAGCATTCTAACCCAAATCTTTTCGAAAAATATCCTAATCTATTACAAAACAATTTTTCCCGAATAAGATCTTCCTTAAATCCACATTAACTTCAGAGATAGCAGTGATAAATTAGCCAGTCGAGGCTCTTAAACGTCTCACGTGCTATGTACCAAAGTATAAAGTCGTACCAAACCGGATAGATAAACACATAAATCCATAATACAAACTTACAAGCCAAGCAATCGAATTAGGGTTTACACATTTTCCAGCTTCAAGTGGCAATCCAAAAGAAAAGTACATTATCTCCAAATAACGCATTACAGCCCACAAAATAAGTTATAGTATTCAAATACAATCCAAAAGGAAAACATAAGTAAGCATCCAGCTTTCAGTTTCCAGAACCTGTTAAGGAAAACAATAAACGTGGGGTGAGCTAAAGTTCAGTGGTGCCCCAAAACATGCAATCACGTAATAACAAACAGCGGTTAATGACATAGCAAATTCAAACAGTTAGGAAAGCGGATAACAGCACAAGGTAGGATACATGGGCTCTCAGGAGCCATTTTCCTCGCTTGATCACCATTTATCGTAGTTGACCCTCCGTCAACTCTCACTACTTATAATCCATGTAGATCCACTCATTTTAATCCTAACCCGTCACCGTTCATACCCTTGTCCCGGGCCCGCTCGCCGACTAAGGACGCAGTATACTCGAGATATACCCGTAGATGATTGGTCGAGGGATTCACCCAACGACATTATTGTAGTTAGATTCATGCGTCGAGAGATTCACCCAACAACGTAACTACATTTAGATTCATGGTAGTTGGATTCAGAAGTCGAGAGATTCACCCAATGACGCAACTACATTTAGATTCATGGTAGTTGGATTCAGAAGTCGAGGGATTCACCCAACGACGCAACTACATTTAGAATCAAAGATTCAGGAGAAAAATATTTTTGCACAAGTCACCACTCGAACGGCTAGTGCGATAAAGTACACACAGCTCATTTCGATGGATCAAAAACCAGTTTTGCAAATTATCACATATCGAGTCAAGAAAGTACTTTAAACAGGTAAGCATAGAACAGGCAGGGACACTCACCAAGAGTGGAGTTCAGATATCAAGTTGGAAATCGAATTCCGCGTCCTCGCAATATCCTAAAAACCAAAATTTGAAACTATAAGTTTCTACTCAGTTTTTAAGCTTATAGACATCGAGGTATATCTAATATACTACTAATCTACTTTTCCTTAGAAGAATCAAGAGTCCCTTAGGTTAAAACTTGACAAAAGTAGAAGAAATGTTTCTTATAGATTTCCTTAAAATACTTTTCCTTATAAAAGGGTAACTACTATTATTTTCTCGAAATAAGTCGACAAACCTCTTAATATCCACGTTAGGAAGTTACTTTGAACATTTCTTTAAAGCTATGGTTTTTGCAAAAATTATTACTAAAACTATTTTACCTAAAAATAAGATTTCTTGCCGAGCAAGTTCCTATGCTTTTAACTAAAATTATTAAAACTCGTATTTTGGCCCTTTTCCTATAGTTAACTAGCCAAAGACAATTCTTAGAGAAAAGAAAAGGAGTAAAACAAGGCTAGAGTTTTAGAAACTAGGAAAATCATTTTCCAAAGGTAATAAGGCTAGTTTGAGCTAAAGGAAATTATCGGGTTGGAAAGTTTTAGGCAAAACACTAGATATTGAATTTTTATAATTTAATACTAGTTGGAAAATATTTTTGATTAATTTGATCACAGTTACTCGAGTTCGCAAGGTAGAAACGACTTTCACAGCTCTGCTTCCGTTTTGAAATCATATTATGGATCAAATATAGCAAAATCACATAGCAAATCACTAGGGTTTTGTCAATCATTAGCCCTAGATTTCAACAAATGCATTTCTGATAAAAATAAAATGAATGACCAAGGCTTCATCAATCATTAGCACTTGGTTTCAGCAAGCTCAGCTTAAACAAATAAAAATAACAGCAAGGCCTCCAAGAAATTCTAGCAATTAAATTTCATCACCCAGTAATACTTATAAAATCATTCAAATGGCCAAGGAATTCATCAATCATTAGCCTTTGACAACACCAATTACTTCCAACCACAATTCAATTAAGAATTTAAACCACAAGTAAGCTAAAAGTTCGATCCAAACCCAATTTCAGTTTCACGAAGAAACAGGACATTCATACATTTCTTATAAAACTCCAAAACAACATATTCCAGGCATTTTCATCCATCATGTTTCAACGAAAAAAAAATTTAAAAGCCAAGCTAAGATTCCAACTCACCCCTCGGCTACCACAAAAGAAATTCCAGCATGTATAAACCAGCATTTTCTGGTTCCATCTTCAATTTATCAAATATTTCATTGCTAAACAACTTACACAACTTAATACTTACAACTCCTCTGTATTTCGAAATCATTATATTCCAAGGAAAAATAAAATAAATTTCCAGAAACCAATTAAACTTCCAAAACAAACTGAAATCTCTGGTTCCAACTTGCGGCTTCCAAAGTTTTCCAGCAACTAATATACTTTAGATTAAATTTTTCCTTGGTTTAAACATGGTGTTAGATACTCAAATTCAGCATTTAACACTTAGCTAGCTAGTAAAAATTTCCACTTCAAAACTAGATTCATTCAGCAACTAAAATTATCCAGAAAAATCTAGAAATTTTGTCCATCAGCCACGGATGAACATGCATGAAGAGATGTTCTGTTTTCATTTTATTTTCTAGGTTAAAACATGCTTTTAAACTCTCAACTCTCTCATGCAATTACTTAGTTAGAAAATAAACATTTTCAGTTCAGAAATCGAGTTCAAACAACAACCATGAACATCAAAATTTTTTAAAATTTTCCTGCTTGACTCGGATGAACATGCTTGGCAGATTACACTTTGATTTCATTTTCTTTTCTTTTCTGGTTTAAAGTAACTAATTAGCTGCATGCAGAGCTTAATTAACTTGTGATCAGCTATATAATTATGGTTGTAAACTCAAACAATAAAATTGAACCAAGTCAGGCTGCAATAAACAAGTTAAGCTCTCGGCAGCTCCAAAACATGCACATAACCGAACTTCTTTTCTTAAAACTCCCATCCGGCTGCCTATCATCGACATGCAAGTTCTTAGATAATTTAAATTTCTTGTTTTTGATTAGTTAAACACCTAATCAAACTCAAATTGTCGCAGGAAGTCAGAAATAAAACTACAATTTCAAGCCAGCTCCTCGGCAGCAACATTTTAACCGAACAGAAATTTTTCTAATGGTTTGATTTCAACATCCGTCTGCACAATCCTTACATGCAAGCTCAGATATAGCTTCCTCTACTAGAATTCAACCTAATTAGTCCAGAAATTACCTCAGATATCAGCTAGGCATACACACGAAAATTTTCAGAAATTTCTTCCCTTGCTCTCGGCTTCAAGTGCAGTCGGTTGGTCCTGGTTCCTAAGTTGCGGCTGGAATTGGTTGCAGCTGGTGGATTTGAATTCGGTTGGTTGGAGTTGGTGGAGATGAAGGTGCAGAATGGTGAAGTTTCACTGAAAATCTTCTCCCTGGTTTCACTCCAGCTCACTGCAGAACCAAAAAAATTCTGGCAGCTCACGTTCCCTCCTCCCTTGCTCTCGGATGCTCTCGGTCTAAGGCAGAGGAAGAGGTGAGATGTGGTTGAGTAGAGGAATTGCAGTGGTTTCGGTGGAGTTGTGCAGAGAAGGAAATGAGATTTGTGAAGGCGATATCTTGGTATTAAGAAAGAAATGGTTTGCGGTTTTGTTTGTGCAGAGAAGGAATCGGAATTGCGGTTTGTGTTTGTGATATGAAATGTGAAATAGAGCAAATGGTATTGTGGTGCCGTGGTTTACGAGAAAGGATTGCGTATAAGAATTGATTGCGTATCGAATTGGTAATAGCTGCGGTGATTAGACTTGTGGTCAGAAGTTTCGTTTGGTTTGCATGGAAATGTAAGGGCGTTTTGGTCTTTTCACTTTGCTCCCTAACCTCAACTTAATTTCTCAATTCCAACTTAATTCTAAAAATTATCCCCAAGTGTGATTTGAACGCCTAATTATACCCTAATATACCTAAACCATATTTATCGAATAATTCTCGATTAAACTTGAATATTAAGGTTCCTAGTAATTCTTATATTATTTAGCGATTAAATTAGTTCTTATAATTTCCAATTATTATTTCTCAAGGAATAGAGTTAGTCTAACTCGAAATTTATCGATTTAATAATATAAAGTCAAGTGAAATAATAATCAAATCCAAGGGTGTCAATTTGCACATAAAAATTATTTTTACGCACTTATTGTGAAAACAAAGAAAGCTAAGGATATATTTATCGAATTTTCACGCCTTAAGTATGTTTAGTATATTAGAATCATATTTATCTAAAATTCATTGATTTTCATCTTAACGCGAAAATTCTTATTAACATTTAACATTAGCAACTAATTGGAATTAAACATAGGAATTTAAATAATTTATTTAAGAATAGTAAGTCTATCGACTCGAGTATCATTAATTTAGCATAAAGGAATTTAAGTATTCTAAGTTTTTATGTTAAGGCAAAAATTAATCTAACCCTAAAGATTTTAATTTAGTCTAATCAAACCAAGAAATTTCACAACTGGCACTACTCCGCCCTTCAAGGGTTTAATTCTTAGGAAGACCTTGTATCCTACTTCGAATTCCAAATCTTTCCTCCTTGTGTCGGCGTAGCTCTTTTGTCTACTCTGAGCGGTTTGAAGCCTTTCCCTAATAAGTTTCACTTTTCTCCTGGGCTTCTTCTATCCAAGGTATATCGGACCTTTCGAAATTTTAAAGCGAGTTGGGAATGTAGCATATCAGCTGAAGTTACCCGCAAGCATGGCTAAGGTTCACGATGTATTTCACTTTTCCATGCTTAAGAAATATTATTCCGACCCAAGTCATGTGCTGCCCCTGGAGGGAATTGAGGTGGATGAGACGTTAACGTATGAAGAAGGACCAGTCAAGATTTTGGAAAGAGAAGTAAAGGAACTGAGAAATAAGAAAATTCCTCTGGTGAAGGTTCTATGGAGAAATCATGGACTTGAGGAAGCAATTTGGGAATTAGAAGAGGAAATGCAGAAAAAGTACCCTGATTTATTTCCTTAGAAAGTGTGAATTTTGAGGATAAAATTCTTGTAAGGAGGAGAGGATGTGAGAACCCTAAAAATGGATATATAAGCTAGTGCATATTTCATTTGCATTTCTTTTATTCTTTAATAATTTCCAGCATTACTTTTACCTGTTCGCAATTAAGTACGTAAAAATAGGTTTATGTGAAAAATAATATAATTTTCTTAAGTTGTGAAATTTCTTGGTTTGATTAGACTAAATTAAAATCTTTAGGG